GTGGCATAAAAGCGCGGGAGATTCAAATCTAATTTTGTCCGGATTTTGACCGCGGACCCTGTATATAGATAAGATATATTTCAAATTAATATATGTGGTAGCTTCATAGGGTTTTATCCACTTTCTATTCTGTCAGCTGCATGGCCAACAAAAAATAGATATCTTTAAGGATGTGTGCTACTTTTAAGGTGTCAGTTACATTATAGCAACACAATTTTTTAACTAAAGAAAGGAAAAAAAGGTTGGCTTACAATCGGGTAAATACAGTACGTGTTGGACTATACTTGATCCATTAAGAAAAACTTAAACTGCTCATGTGCATAAAATTTTATTGATAATATACCCCCTTCATAACAGTTAGCAGTGACTGGCTGGCATTAACTTGTCTCTGTAATTCAAGTAAATCTTAAAGTGCCATTGTGTGACACTATTTTTTGGGGACTTGAGATACTGTACAAATACCATTCTTACTTTATTAGTCCAATTCTCTCTTGAAATATATGTATGTACTTCTAATGGAATACTTACTACTTTAAAATTACAAATCCTCTAAAATTCATGACTGCTATAAAATGTGGTTATCTCCTGTGAGCATGAAGTGCCTTTTGTGTGGCATCAGATGTCTATTGTACAGACTAGAAATCAAGCACAGAGAGTTTGTTGGGGATGCTTTCCCTGAGTCAAGCTTCAAGGCTATTTATGAAGTGGCATATCTATAGAAAATAAAACTGATAGGAAAAAAAATAATCTCAGCAATATATTGTAAGGATTCCAGTAGTTTTGCAAACATGTTCTGTTTATGAAAACAATTCTACTTAAATTGGATGAGAAATTTAAGAATTAATGTCTCATTCTTTAATTACTCTGGCTGACGAAAAAAAGATATAATTTCATGAATCTTTATATGTATGACATGAAAATTATATTATGCATATTTTACATGAACATATGAAGCTTCAGATCAATTTATTGCAGAAAAATTAACCCTTCAAGGATAAGTAATGAGTGCCCTAGTACTCAATGCTTGTAATGAGTGTCCATATTTCTTGTAAATAGTCTTCCAGGCTGCTGAAATCTGTGTTCCAGGAAGCCCTAGACACATTTTATGCAAAATAAATTGAATGGAAATATTGTAAAGGCATTCCCTTGATACCCTTGCTGTGTAGGTAGGCATTAACCATTAGGCTTAGTGGACTCCCTGACAAGAGGGGCAACACATGTTGCAGCCTGATGTTCATCATGTGTATCTTTCAGTTACCATCTCTTTTACCATTGGTTAGGATGACCCAAAGGTTACAGGAAACATCTTGCACCTCTAACACTGGATTGCTTCATACAGGGCCATTGTCAAGTTTAAAAGAACCTGACTGACAACATTCTAATTCCAGCTTGTATTAGTTCTGGTTTCTCATTCTCAACATCACGCCAGAGAAATGATATGTTGTTGGCAGTAACAAAGAGCAGTGGGACTAAAGTTCCTTGAGCCAATTATCTGTAAATGGAAATCAAAAGAATGTTTTCCCCGGCACAGGAGGTCAATAGAATGCCCTGGGCATTTGTGCATTGGGAACAAGGTATATGGTGGAAAAAACATTTGTCACATTAAAAAAACTATAATTATAATGCTACTGTTACTGTCCCAATATTATTATGTGCAACCGAGGAAAGATTTTTGGAGTAAAATGATGCCATCTTTGAATGAAGGGGATTTCAAAAGTTTTGCAAGTGACCTGCTAAAATCTGTGTTATAACAAGTATTGGAGTACTAACCTTCATAATCTTTCATTGTACTACTCGCATCATTGGAGGCACTGCAACTATTTATCAAAGGCGCTGTGATGCTCTGATTGAAATATTGTTAATAAAGCTTAATTTATGTCTTCAGAAAGGTCTTGCACATATTTAAAGAAATTTCTAGCGATGGCAAACTGTACCCGATAAAACAATCAGAAATCACAAGGTGCAAGGACAGGGCTGTAGGATGGATGTTCGGGAATGTAGACTTTTTGTTCTCTTAGTTTCTGCACAATTGCTCATATTCCGTGAGCAGATGCATTGTCATGATAAAGCAGCACCGTGGAGGTTCCCGTTTGTGAACATCTCTTTTTCAAATTTTTGAATAGAGCATGCAAAACTACAAAACTTGTACATTTCATTCATAGTCCAACCTTTTGGCATATTTCACCACCAATGGTCCTTCACTGCTGAAGAAAATTGTGAAATTTTGGCAAAGAACAACTGATCTTTGTTTATTTTAAGACAGCCACCCACAGTTTTGGGTTTTGTGATATAGTAGTGTTTGGCGTGATGTAGTAGTAAAAACAACTTTCAGCATCTGTACTGTCAGTCATGGCTCATTTCATGGAAACATTGCAAGCAATCTTGACGCCAATCCTCCCTTCATATCTTCTGTTCCTTGGTGAGAAAATGAGGAGCCCATTTTGTACAAATGTTTCTCAGTTGTAAATGTTGGTGGAGCATTGTTTCCATGCTAACAACATTGATGCCAACATCCATACTTAACATTTCCACAGAGATATTACTGCTTTTTCCACTAACTGCCTCATATCGTGAATTGTTCTCTCGTTCACAGCTTTCCGAGGTTGCTCAGAGCGATGGTCATTTTTCAAGCTCTCCTTTCCATGCTCAAATGAATTAATCATCAGGCAATGGTGTCAAATAAACACACTTGGTCCACACGAATTGTTTTCAAGTTGTCAGGGATTTTCTTAGCCTTTTCACGTGGCTTGTAGCATGTGAATATGTAAAATAAAATGGTTTTTATTATTATTTTAAAAAAATTTATTTATTTTTATTTAAGGTTGCATTCACGTCTTGGTCATTAGCAACCACTATTGCATTTAACAGTATGGTAACTGTGTAGATGACATAATATCGTGATAATAGGGTGCGAAAGGATGAACACCATTACAACCATGCCTGAGGTGGGACTCAAACCTGCAATCCTTTGGTCCAAGGTTGCCATGGCAGCTATGCCTTATTTCTCAGCCATCCGGACCGACAAAAAGTCAAATGCTGATCTTAGACAAATCAATGTTTCTCAACACATACTATCACTACACTAACTTTTGAGGCCTAGTTCCTTCAGACTGTGCCAGATTGAACTTGCACTGATACATGTATTTATAGCAGGAAGTTCACAGAATTCAGTCACAATAGTGTAAACACAATACTCGTTGTTCAACAAAACTTTCTGAAGTTCAACAAAACTTTCTGAAGTCTGTACTCTGTTTTTATTTGTAGTATCCTGTTTTATTTTGCCTCCATTCAAGATGAGATTTATAGTTCATTGATTATTTAAAGGATTGAAAAAGAATATTACATTGAACTCTACATGTGATAAAACAGAACTGTTTAATGTTTTGTTTTCTATTGCAGAACAAGTAAATGCAATGGGACCTCTTATTGACCAAGAACTGGAACGTGTGGATCGTAAGCATGCTCAGCTGACGCAGTTGAGTGCAGATCTTGTAGATGCACTCAATTTGTACCATACTCTGATGCGAGAACCTGCTACTACCCAAACATACCATACTCTACCTAAGCCTGTGCATTACAACTTTGGTCCCCAGCAACCTCCACCGGGACCACCAACACATGTGAGTTTGCCAATTGACATTAAATGATTGTGGTGATCATTGCTATTGACATATTTAAGATTAGCACTGACATTATATATATGTTAAGAATAATGTCCAAATCTCGATAATTCTCAAATTGTCAGTTACGTCCCTAATGTCAGTTAATGTGGAGGGAGAGAGACCAATGCAGGAAACAGATCCAACACATATATTTCAGAGATAAGCTGGTTTAAGTTCACATATTGTTGGTCACGGTATTAAGGTATTATGGTCATACAGTTGGCCACATGAGGTGGGTGTTATAGCGAGAGAAATATTCAGATAATGTGATAAACAAGATATTAGACTGCTGGTAGATAGTTTCTAAGGCAAATGAGAGACAAAGTGGCCACCTATACTAACTTTGCCTTACACACCAGTTGACACTTCATGCTGAGTTTGATGAGGGTTAAGCTTCAGAATTCATAATATATATATAAAAACCTTCAGTTAGTGCAACACATCATTTCGAATGTGTTTTTATGTAAAAATAATTCTTGTGAACCCTTTAATAATTATTAAAAATAATTATTAAAAAAATAATAAAAATATTAAAATTCTGTAATGATAATTGTGGCGATTCTTCCTTCCTAAATGAGACTTTTGACAACATGAATGAAAGAAGAAAGAATGACTACCCAGGAACAGAGTAAGTGCTTCTCCTTCTTCCAACTAAAATAATCGCATTCCCTTACTCCCAGAAACTGTGGTCATATTACTCCCAGATGCTTCTGAAACCTGGTACCAAAGGTATTTCACATGGTTGCCAAATTGACGCAAGAAAAGCAAGTGCTCCCTGTATGAAACAACAAAATTTACATGAATGTGCTACGATTGCCTTGAAATTTGGGATACTTACGCAGAAATTGTTATAGAGGATATCAATGTACGTTTTTGTCTACATGGTAAAATTACTTGCACCCCTTTTGCTAAACAAAATTAATTTTCAAGTGCTGCAATTTAACTCTAGGAACCATGCTGGTTTTTTACAAAAATGATACAGGAAGGTGTGCACTTCCAACTATCCGATTAGCAGAATATGTAAAACTACTGATGGTTATTCTTGGAGAACAATGTGGCTTCAGAAGAGGACGATCATGTGCAGGTTGTGTCTTTGTAATGGTGCAGTTAATACAGAAGCATAGGAAATTCAACCTCCCTACGTGCATTCTCTTCGTAGATTTTGTAAATGCTTTTGACTTTGTGTCCAGGAGAAGGTTGTGACGGCGGCCGCGATGGTGTGACGGTTAGCGTACCGGACTGTTATACCCAAGCTCGCGGGTTCAACCCCAATCGAAGCCGTGGATTTTTAAGGCGACAAAATCCTTCGTACGTCTTCCTTCGGGGGGAAAGTAAAGCCGGATGTCCCATGTTGTAGATTTACTTGCATGTAAAAGATCCTCAAGCCTAAATGACGCCTCTGAGCGAAATTCAAAATCACCTGTTTCTTGCCCAAGAAATACCTCCTTTCTCTGCTAGATGAAAGGAGCGTAGCGAAATTTGCGTGGTCACACGGAAGAGCGGGCCTGATGGCCCGAGTCTCGCCACGTAAAATAAGGCAAATTCAATTCAATTCGATTCGATTCAAAGGTTGTGGGGAATTCTTGAGATTCAGGGAATCTAAACCATCTTATAAAAGTTACGAAATCTTGTATAGTAAAAATAAAATGTGTATTGACATGGGAACAAGAATTGGGAGAAAATAAGCGATAATAAATGGAGTAAAACAAAGATGTCCACTGTCCCCTGTTTTAGTTTATATATTGACCATGCCATGAAGGAATAGTAGAGGCCTTAATCAAAAGAAGTTTATGTAACAGGCTTAAGAACAGTCTTTATTTGCTGACGATCAGGTTATTTTGGAGAACTCGGAGGATAGATTGCAGAATGACATCTATACCTTGCAAAATATATAACAGAACTAAGAGTTGCAGATATCTATCTACTCAGAAATCTAAAGTAATGGGTTATGTGGGCAAACATCATTTGAAATGCAAAGTATTTGTGGAAAACACCATACTAGAATTTCACTACCTTGGACATAACATCCAGAGAAAACTCCATAAATTTGATGCAAAGTGTGGAATAATCCAAAGAAACCGTAATATCAAAGTAAGAAAGGACATACAAATAAAATTTTACGAGGTGATTGCGGTTCCTGTACTTGAATATAGTTGTGAAAATTGGTGCTTGAATCGCTCGGATAGAAGGAAAATTGAGGCTGCTGAAATGAGATTTTTTCGAAATGAGAAAATTTTCAACCTCTGTAAGAGAATCTTGAGTACAAAAAGAAAAATGGTTCCATCCTATCCAACGAGTGACTAGTGAAAGTCTACCAAATAAGCTCCTCCCCTACGCACCTGAAGTAACTCGAGATCCAGATAGACCTTGCAGAAGATGGAGAGACGATCTTCTTGGCGACAGAACAGGACATTTTGCCTACTCCTTGATGATGATGATGATGATGATGTGATGTTTTTGTTAGTTATAGTGTTACTACTCATATGTCATTTGATTTTAGTTAACACTTTACTATCTTATTAGGGGGTACTTTATACCTCTGTTGATTCACTTTCAGTATTAGAAAATTATTTGGAATGTAATTTTCTCTTCTTATATTGGAGAATTAACTCCATCATTCTTCATTCTACTTAATGATTTCCATTTTTAAAAAAATGTAGATTTCTTACCCTTAATCAACAATACAAATGATTTTTTGTTACTAATTACTTAATTAGTAATTGAAGTAATATTTATGCATAAGATTGTTAATTAATTCGTTTTTTTTTTTTCAAAGTGTTGTGTTCCTTTGTATTGCAGTTATACAATGGTGTTCCAATGACTGCGCCATTCCCACTGCCTCAGTACACAATGGGGCCTGATCAGTTTGGCAACCCAGGTGCTCCCGCTGGGCCTGGCTCTCTGCCTCCTGGCCCCCCTCAATACCTAATGGGTGCAGGGCGGCCGCCTCTGCCTCTGCCTCTGCCAGAAGATGGCCAAGGGCCTCCCCAGGGCCCTCCACAGGGCCCTCCCCAAGGACCCCTACCGGGCCCCCCTCATGGCCCCCCGCAGGGTCCTCCTCAGGGGCCTCCTGCACACATGCAATATCCCCCTCATGGGTGAGTTCTTGCATTTGCCAGGATGATTTAAGCATTCCTTGTGTGTGAAACAAGGTTACCCATTACACCCTTGTAAACCATAAGTTATTTCATTGTTTGTGGCATGCTATGTAAGAGTTTCTAGAGTAAGTGTTTTTTTTAAGTAAGAGTTCACTAGAGTGAAAAATAAATATTATATTGCTAGGGATTTAATTTATCTAGAAATACAATTTACATATTTGCAGTTGTGTCATTCTTTAAACATACATTGATATTTTCTTTAAACTTTCTCTCTATCATTTACATTGTGGTAAAGGATGAAAACACGTGTGGTACTTGAGAGTTTATAGAATTAATGAGAAGTAGCTCCCTGTGACTGCTATCGTGGCCTTAAGAGCCTAATTTGATCTCTCACAAATAAAGTTTTATTTACTATCATGTACTGTTATTTACTATTGTGTATATATTATTTATTCTCCAAATTTATCAAATTAATGTTCTTAACATATAATGGCATGTTCATTATTGTAATGCTGTACTATAAATCTTCGTAAAGATTAGCACATAGAGATGCTCGAATACTCAGGAATAAATAATATACAAAACCTAGCACTCATATGTTTGTGTTAATTAGTACACATTGACTCTCTTCAGAAAAAAATAATATGGACACATTTATTATTTAATAGTTTACACAAGGTGGTCACAAAGAATATATTCACTATTACTATAATTTTTGTTATTATTATTTTTGTTATTATATTATTATTATTTTTGTTATTGTTATTATTATTATTATTATTATTATTATTATTATTATTATTATTATTATTAAGCAAGTGCATATGGAGGTGTGATCAAAGAGATTAGAAATTTATGCTCGACTTGTTTTTTTTAAGCCCCTGTAGGGCTTTTGGAAAACAATTCAACATGCAGATGTGTTGTTTAAATTACTTCAATTACTTATCAAAATTGTTTTTCCAGAAATAGCATTATTAGTAACTACACAAATTATTAGTAACTGTAACTAGCATGACCTAAATTTAAGTTGCCTTTTAATAATCTTATGCTGGGATAAAATTTGAAAATGAACATTAAAGTTATTTAGTAACAAAATATTTTTAAAGATTTGAGTCATATTGTAGAAAAGAAAGGTAGCAGAAGAAGAAAAGTTAAAAGATTTTGGTGTGGTTTTGAAACTTCTTTCCTATAAGTTTTTTGGATCGCTGAACACAAATATCAAGTTTGCCAATTAGAATTTTGCTGGAAAACTGTTTTTTTAAGCAAAGAAACTATCTCTGCTATTGAACAACTGCGCCCAAAGATTTGGCACAACTACCACAATGAAATATGAACATGTCCTAGAACACAACAACAATGGTCCTCCTGTGACTCACTATTGCATCATGTTGCAAAACTTTCCCAGTACCCTTTGTAGAAACACTATTTATTGTTCCCGTGGTGCAGCAATATGTTTTTCTGTAAAAAATCCGCTTTTCCGGCACACAATTACAATACTTTCTCTTCTTACGAAGTAAAGACGAGAAAGTAAAAACCGAATTTTTTCTTCATTTTTCATTTTTGTCAATATTAGATCAATAAAGTCATGTTTGTTTTCAAGAAAATGAGTAGGTTTCGCATATGTTTACATAAAGTAAAGATAATTTTAAAAATAAGTTTGTTTGCAAAAACTGTTCCAACTTTTACTTGCTTGTGTTCTACTTACAAAATATAGATAAAGTACAAGGTCTGCCCCAAAAGTAATGCGTCGCAACGTCTTTGACGTCACTATGTCGTAGAACGGTAAGACTAGTTTGAATAGTGTAAGGGGAGGTTTAGCTTTTCAGCGGCCTCTAGTTCAGTTGTCTCTGTACCTTGGGGATGTTGGAACGTGCAAGTTTGTAGTCATTTCGTACTTCGATGGAGAAATCTTTGGATGAAAGAAACCCGATCAAGTTTTACGTGAAGCTGAACAAGATATTGGTGGAAACTTTTGAGGTTTTTCATAAAATTGTTTGCCACTTTTATCACCGGGAATGATACGTGGATTTTTGAGTACGCCCCTGAAAGAAAAGGGCAGAGCGTGGTGTCACATCTCGGCTCCTTTTTTTTACACGGGAATAGTGTAGTGAGTTCGTACTTCCTGGACACGTCCAGTTCCCGTTACGCCCAGTTCTACAAACAAGGGCTCCAGAGACAGAACGACTAGGTCACCCACGTCCGCAAAGAAATCAACTTCTTGGAATAACCATGACGGCAGTGCGACAGCGACCATGGCGAAAGAAACGCATTTCAAGATTTGGATCATCGAAACCTACGATGAGGGCTCTAAAGGACTGGGATCATACGATGGAAGGATATCATGTTGGCAAAATTGTCTTGACGCACTATACTCTGAAGAATTTAAAGTTGCTGTACCTATGTGATAACGAGTTTGTTTTTAAAACATTCTATACATTATTTTTAGATCATGACTTGTATGCATAGTAATGTTGTGATTAAAACGGCGATTTTATGACAGAAACTTTGTATTGCCGGGCTGCAGTAACGAAATCTTGTTCCTATATGTAGTAAATTACTTCTACATCATGTTGTGTATTTCAAATCTACGTTTTCTGGGTCTTTGATACTGAAAAATTGGATTACTGTAAAATGAACTGTTCCCTCTGTAAACAAATAGTGACTAAGCTGGAAAAATCCTGAAAACCCAAAAAATTGATATTTCATGCTGATGTCGTCATACTCTTGACTGGTGTCGCAACCTCGTGAATTCGAAGCGGATATTATATATTGGGGAGTATTTTACATGAAGCTTAAATCTCTTCAATTTTTTTTTTCTTAAAAAGGCTCAATTTTTTTATCTAATAGACCAAAACACATGTAAAGAAATGGCATTGGTCACAAAATCATTTCATCCCCCATCTTTAACTTTCAAAAATTGCAATTCAAAATATTTTCTGTGTCATCGTTCCATATAATAATGAAGACAGTTTTCACAATTTTCTCTTAATGTATTCTGTTTGTCAAAACCAAGTCTTCACATACAGTCATGTCCATATGATATAGACGAATAGTTTTGCGTGAAACCTAGGCAATTTTTTTCTGCTAAAAGCTTCAATTTCTCTCTCATTCTTCCCTCTCTCTCATTTCTCTCTCTCTCTCTCTCTTACTTTCTCTCTCACTCTCTCTCTTTCTCTCTTACTTTCTCTCTCACTCTCTATCTCACTCTCTATCTCACTCTCTTTCTCACTCTTTCTCTCTTTTTCTCACTCTTTCTCTCTTTTTCTCACTCTCTCTTTCTTTCTCTCTCTTTCTCTCTCTTTCTCACTCTCTCTCTCTTTCTTTCTCTCTCTTTCTCTCTCTTTCTCTCTCTTTCTCACTCTCTCTCTCTTTCTCTCTTTCTTTCTCTCTTTCTTTCTCTCTCTTTCTTTCTCTCTTTCTTTCTCTCTTTCTCTCTCTCTTTCTTTCTCTCTCTTTCTTTCTCTCTTTCTTTCTTTCTCTCTTTCTTTCTTTCTCTCTCTCTCTTTCTTTCTTTCTCTCTTTCTTTCTTTCTCTCTTTCTTTCTCTCTTTCTATCTCTCTCTCTTTCTTCCTATCTCTCTCTCTTTCTTCCTATCTCTCTCTCTCTTTCTTTCTATCTCTCTCTCTCTTTCTTTCTATCTCTCTCTCTCTTTCTTTTTATCTTTCTCTCTCTTTCTTTCTATCTTTCTCTCTCTTTCTTTCTATCTTTCTCTCTCTTTCTTTCTATCTCTCTCTTTCTATCTCTCTCTCTCTTTCTATCTCTCTCTCTCTCTTTCTATCTCTCTCTCTCTCTTTCTATCTCTCTCTCTCTTTCTTTCTCTCTCTCTCTCTTTCTTTCTCTCTTTCCTCTCTGAAAGAACAGTTAAGAAAGGGATGGTGATCCCATTTTCAGTGAATTATCTGTATTTTCGAACTTTTAAAAACTTAAGTTTACAAAAGTACAATATCAATAAGAGACTTTTTGTTAATTGAAATCTGTTCTAAAAATAAGTTTTGTTAAAAATATCATATTCATTTTTAGAAATACAATATGTTGTATGTATTTTTTTAATTGCATATTCGAATTTCTCTGAATTCTTGTTGCTAATACCTCTGAGGAGTTAATTTAGGAGGAGCATCTCATTCGGCGATGCCATACAATAGGAACACTGCGACGTGGCAGTTTGAAATTCTCAGAGAAACTTCTCAACGTCGACAAGGATAGGATAGGGATATGATGTATTCACAGTAATGAACCTTTGTTTCGTAATGTATATGCATTGATGAGGCTATTAATTGAATGCCGTTCAGTTCTGGATGTTTAATTGACGTGTGAAATTAAGGCCATAGGATCGGAAGATTTGCAGCCTACGCCGAATGGCCGAAACGTAAGTTGTTGCCTTATGAGCACGTTCAGACCTGGTCAGCAGGCAGCGTCGCAGGAGCGGATTGGCAAGTTTAAATCCGCGGCGCATTTTGTAACGCAGTGGGACGCGTTTCTCCGTTGTCGCTCGAGTGGAAGTCCGCCCACTTGGAGTCTTCGCTCCCCTCTGGGTGGAGCTCCATTGCCTTCGTGCACAACTCTGCCTCTCGAGTTTCGCTATGGAAACCAAGGCAAAGATTCGCCAGATGTCGTATATTTTTAGCTCACCAGTGAATCTTACACAACTGAACGTTCAGAAAAAATACTTCTAATTGTGTTCAGTAATTTAATTAATAAAAAAAAAAACTTGAAACTTCGATTTTTTTTGTCCTCAAAATTTTGTACATTTTAATGATGTCAGTGATGTCATTAGCAGTCACTGATAATTTTAGTAAATATCAAAGCGTTTCTCGTTCTTTGTGGCATCAAGGTATGGAATTCTCTGTACTTTTTACTTTGTAGGTCAAAATCATGGACCACTTTTCTTTGTTTCCTGAACATATTTTAAAAATTTGATGGAAAATCGTAGATAAAGGAGGTAAAAGCACTGTACTGCATGTGCTCAAAAAACGTACTACGAGTAATGGCATTTTCTATCT